TGACCAAATGGCCCTAGCACCCAGGTTTGTCATTCAGAGTAGGGCTTTGAGGCTTAACAAGAAGCAAGGGCGGCTAAGTGCAGTGGCACACGCCTGTAATTCCAGCAACTTGGGAGGCTGAGATAGGAGAATCACGAGTTCAAAGCTAGCCTCAGCAACTGTGAGGCACTAAGCAACTCAGTGAGACCCTGTCTCTAAATAAAATACAAAATAGGGGGCGGGGGTTGTGGCTCAGTGGTACAGTGCTCACCTAGCACATGAGAGGGGCTGGGTTCAATCCTCAGCATAATATTAAAAAATAAATTTTAAAAAGATATTAAAAAATATATAGGGCTGGGGATGTGGCTCAGTGGTCAAGTACCCCTGAGTTCAATCCCTGGCACCAAAAATAAAAAAGAAGCAAGAGCTTATCTAGGAACTGAACTCGACCTCCAACTCAAACCTCAATTTGCTAGTTACTTACTCTTCTTAAGGTCTCAAGGCTCAGGGGCCTGGTGGTGGGGCAAACCTCCCTCCTGCAGTGGAGGAGCCAGAAAGTCCAGTTAATGATCAGCCCCCAGGGCAGGGTCTGCTCCTTTCTTAAAGGCTTCTATCTTTAGGCATTACTCAACATCTGGCCTACCCTTATCCAGTCAGCTGGCTGAGAGGGCTTATAAATGGGAGAAAGGTGCTGGACAGGCCCTCTACCTGCTGAGGTCTTCAGTGAACATACTTCTTCCCAGGGTGTCACGGAATTCAGGTATGGCTTGCTCATGAGCCGGGGAGTGTGCAACAGGACAGGAACAGAGGTCTCCTGAGAGCTGGTCTTTTTGCAGGCCCTTCAGAGCCTTCCTTCTTCCTTGGCTGATTTTCATCCAACTGCCTCTTCTGGATCCTCCTCCTCCTCTTCCTTAGGTCCAGACTTGTGGCATTCACATAACTTGGGCCTCTATTTTCTCTAAATTACTTCCTGCTATCCACAGATTGGTGGCTCCCACATCTGTGTCCAGCCTAGGACTTCCCCTGGGGCCACACACAGGCACCTGACAAAAGAGCTCCATGTTTCCTGCTGCCCAAATCTGTTCCCCCTGTTTCCCACCAGGGGTACCAACATGGGCTCAGAGGGTTAAAAACGGAAAGGCTCTGTTCTCAGTTGGAATGAGGATGTAGAAGGAGCCTAAATTAGTTCAGGCTCTCAGAATTTTTCAAATGATACCTGAGTCGGGGTGAGTGAGTGGAGGAGTGGAGGGGAGCTTGGGCTCTTGAACAACTGAAGCTTTGATCAAAAGATTCAGAGTATGTGTGACTTTGTGGCTGGATGTGGGTGATACCTGAGCTGGTAAGCTTGGAGGTTCTGAAAGTTGGGGACATGGGAGCTCCTTGTTCTCTGTAGCCAGCTTGGAGGGTGGAAGCTATATTCTAATATTCACCCTGACATTGACTCTGCCTTAGTTTTCTTTCTTCTTTCCTTCTGTCTTTTCTTCCTTTTGTGGTATAAAGAATTAAACCCAGGGCCTTGAACATGCTAGGTAAGTGCTTTATGACTGAGCTACACCCCCAGCACTTTTTATTTTTTAGGTTTTAGTTTTGAGATAGAGTTTTACAAAATTGCTGAAGCTGGACTTGCACTTGCGATCTTCCTGCCTCAGTCTCCCAGGTATGTGCCACAACTCCTGGCTCTGCCCTAGTTTTCTGGGTCTCATTTTTATCTCAACAGGACAGGGACGGTAGAAATGAAGGAGAGCATTTCAAGAGATCTTGGTAGCTCAGGTTGCAAGATTTGATCAGACCTGAGTTTTTGGGAGAAAAAGAGTTAAGTAGAGCTTGGGGAATGGCCTATAGGCCTGCATGTCCCCATGCTGGCAATTGAATTCGGGGCCTCACTCAGGTTAAGCAAAGCACTATATCACCAAGCTAAACCCCCAGCCCAGCCCTACAACTGCTAATCCACCACTTCCACCCTCGAGGAGGCCTCTCTGGTGCTCACGTGCAATAATTAACTGCTGAGTGGCCTTCGCCCGATCCCAGACTTCACTCCTGGGCTCCCTTCCCACTGCTTGTCTCCTAGGCCACTAAACCTCAGCTGTCCCCTGGAATAAGTCAAGAGGAGCGTGAAACAGAGCAGAAGCCTGAGCAAGTCGGAGAACGCAGCGGCCTCTTCTCCCAGGTATGCCACTTGCCACCCCTTCATCAGAGGCCACACACCCTCTGGTACTCCTAGCATGTGATAATGTATTGGCTGAGCTTGGAGGGCCCTCTGTTTGCAGATAGCTCAGAGAATCCAGAGGTGGAGATTGAGCCCCAGATCAGAGGGCAGCCTGCCCAAGGTTAAACTACATCCTTGAACTAGAACCCAAGGGCTCTTGCCCTTCAACCCAGCACTGGGTTTTCAGCTCTTTCTAGGGCCCCCAGAGGGGTGGGGGTGATGGCAGTAGTGGTGGGTATCACAGCTGGACCAGGTGAGACGAGGAAGGTGGGGAGAGGGCATGCAGAGGGATGTAGGTCACAAGAGAGGGAGAGAGAAGTGGCTTCAGAAAGCAGCTACAGTGAGAGTATAATCCAATGGGTCCAAGAACAGGGCTGTCTCTGCCCCCATGCTCAGCATTGTGTTGGTGTCCTCAGGAGAGCCTCAACATGGGACAGGTGCCAGGGCCAAAAGCTGAAGGAGCTCTGGTCTGGACTTCAAGATGGGGAGTCAGACTTTGGTAGTCCCTGCTATGTGACTTGGGGCATGACTCTCAATCTGGGTCCAACAGATTCTACATAGATTAAAGTGGCTATCATTTGGTATTGTTTAACCCCTCCCCCCACCTTTAATCCCCAGATCAGGAAACAGTCGTAAGATAGTTTGTGTTTGTTTCCTTTGGACAGAAAGGAGTGGAGGGAGGGCCAGACCAGCCAGGCTGAACCATTTCTAACCTGTGCTTTCAGCAGCCAGGCTTTTGTTTCCCCTCAGGAGCCAGATCAAAGATTCACCTCCCAACAGTACAGATTTCCCCACCTGGCCTTTGAGTTTAGTAAATGAGTAGATCCACAGAGGCACAATTGGACCCTGGAATGAATAAAGAGAATGCATGAACACTGGAATAAACAGAAGAACAGCATAAGGAATTGAGCAGGGAGGAAAGCTGGGTGGGAATTCAGCTCCAGGCTGATAAGAGCTCTCCCGGGCAGTCAACCTGGATACCCTGTGAGATGGGGCAACTCAAGGGCAAGCTGAGCTTATGAGTGGGGAAGGCACACCCATTTAGCAATCTGGTATGTGGAAAGTGGGTTGTAGGAAGAAAGATGGAGAAGATTTGTGGGAAAGGAGCATTTTAGGAGGGCCCAGGAAGCTGGTGACTAGTGGAATGAGGGGAAGTCACCTCCCAAAATTTGATATCTGAAGTCAAATGATGGCTATGATGGTTGAGGGAAGGTCAGCTTTGTGGCAGGAGGCTCAGGAGTCTCCCCAGGAGTCCCAGGGTGTCTAGGAAAGATATATTGGATTAGCCCAAGGATACAATTGGAAAGGGCTGGAAGGCTTTAACAAAAGAAAAAGCTGGGCATGGTGACTTATACCTATCATCCTGGCTATTCAGGATGCTGAGGCAGGAGGATCATTTGAATTCAGGAGCCTAAGGCCAATCTGGGCAACTCAACAAGACCACAAGTCAACAAAAGCCCTAGATCTGCAGCTTATTTGCAGCTCTGAAACTAAGGTATTTGTAACCTTTTATACACAGTGATTTGGTATCAAAATCTGACCTAAAATTAATGTGAGATCATATATAATTTTTTTAATCCCACCAGTATAACTATTTCATCACAAAATATATGCTTGGTTGTCAGGTATGCATAAATCCTATTAGTTTATATTACTATTTATAAAATTTTTTAAAAAGGGGGGCTGGGGCTATAGCTTGATGACAGAGTACTTGCCTAGCATGCGTGAGGCACTGGGTTCGATCCTCAGTACCACATAAAAGTAAACAAATAAAATAAAGGCATTCTGTCCTGAGAAACTGATGTGACTCCATTTTTGAAAAAAAAAAAAAAAAAAAAAACCCCACCCTCTACCTCAGAGCAAAGCCTATCCAGAGGTAGGGGGTGTGACCCTTTTCCTTGGAAAAACCCACAGAGTGTTCCTAGGCACATAGCCAGGTGTCCCTTACTCAGTTCCGCTAGGTGAGGTCCTGTAGCAATGCTAGCAACCAGCGTGAGACAGGGAAAATACCTGAAATGCCAGGTGACCCTCCCAGTAGTTTTGATGATTGATAACATGATTAGGAAACCCTGCAGTTTTTCATATACACTCTTGCAACCCCTCACGGCCTAAACCAATCAGTTCAAATGTATCCACCTCTTGAACTAACCAGTCACCCTTATCTAACTTGTTCCCGCCAATGAATGTGCTAATCAATGTTAAGAGTTGTTGTTTGATTTTCCCGCGGTATGGAATGATTTGCTGTGTGATGTTGTGACGCATAGAGTATCCCCAGAAACCTATAAATCCTCACTGAACAAAGGACCAGGACTTACTCCCTGGGACCCCTGTGTCGGAAATGTTGTGAGTCCAGGCTCGATCTTGCAATAAAGACTCTTGTGTGATTGCATCAGATTCAGGTCCTGGAGGTCTATTGGGGTCCAACGAATCTGGCATAACAGTCCATCTACAACTACAAAAAAAAAAAAAAAAATTAAATCCTAAAAAAAAAAAAATTACAACATTTACCTCTAAGGATTTTGAATAAAGGATTGTGGATGTATAGCAAACTCTAAACTGTTTCTGCACATTGCCAAAGTCTTGCTCCTTGGTCGCTTCATTTGATCCTCATTACCTACTGGAGAAGTCAGAGAGGCTCCTGCCAGGAATGTTCCCAGTGGGTGGTGTCTGATCCACTTCTCACTGGGTCTAGGAAGACAGGGGTTGGTGATCCACCAGTAGAGGCTCCACCCCGCTGGCATTGAGGCCAGAACTTGAGGCTCCACCTCCACTTTACTTGGTGCTACTGACCACAGTTCTTTCTTAAGGGATTGACATGGCCCGGCTGATGACAACACAGCTGCTGCTTCTTGTGTGGGTGGCTGCTTGGGGTGCCCAGCCCAGGACTGAACTTCTCAATGTCTGCATGGACGCCAAACACCACAAGGAAAAGCCAAGCCCGGAGGACAAGTTGCATGAGCAGGTAGGCCAAGGGGTAAACCAGGGTGATACAGGGCTGGCTTAGGAGGAGGAGGTCAGAAGATGAGGTGTCAAGCTCCCCTCTGTGGTGGACACAGATAGACCTGCCTGAAGAGACCTTCAATTTGCACAAATGGGGGTGGCCGCTTACACAGGTTGTGTGCCAAATGTCAGTAAAGTGCTAACAGCTCACCTTCTTAGCTGTTGAGTTTCCGCATTGCACCCAGGAATAAGGAAGTAGACCCAGAGGAGAGTCTGGGAAATGGAGTTGAAGAGACTCATTCTGGGGATTGGATTTGGATTTCTGGGTTTTAATTGGGAAGGACTCCTCCACGGACCAAAGAGGAGAAGCTGTCTACTATACAGAGTGGCTCCTTTCTGCCAGCCCTACACAGCTCAGGAAAGGTGGGCCTCTTGCAGCCAGGAAGCTGGCTGCCAAGTGTTTGGCTTCAGGCATCTGGCAAACATTTGTGCTATGGCTCTTGAACCCACTGGATCTCAGGTCTCCCTTTGACAACAATTATTTTGCCACAACCCCTTTCATATCCTGGATTTAGCTAAGCAGTGAAGACAATCAATATGACAGCATAACTACAAAGAAAAAGCAAAAGGCCAGCTACTTGAGAGGCTCAAGCAGGAGGATCTCTTGAGCCCAGGAGTTTGAGGCCAATGTGGAAAAGAGTGGGATCCTATCTCAATAAATAAATAAATAGGAAAAGAAAAAGGAAAGTAATCGTAATATGTATTGCAATATGTAAATGTTCATTTTAGTTCCATTAGCAGATAATGACCACAGTCCTTTTTACTCTTGTTTTGAATCACTGACCTACCACTGCCAAATGCAGACTGCCAAATCTTGGCTACCTTGGGCAGCCTTGACTTTAACTTATTCAGCCTTCATTTATTTATTATTATTATTTTTTAATTTTTTTACTTGTTCTTTTAAAAGTGTATGTTTTAATATTTTATTAAGTTCTGGGTCAAGGATTTTCATTCATTCAATAAGTATGAATTAAGTGTTTATGTAATTGTTTCTACAGTTACAATTTAGCTTCTTTCTTCACCTTCAGGTCTTTGTCACCTCCTCAATGAGGCTTAATTAAGCCACTGTGGGGCACTTGAAGTCACCATCCATTTCTCTTGCCTTTTTTTTCCCCCCAAAGTAATTATTATGTGATAAGCGTTCATCACTTGTTTGTGGTGTGTGTGTTATGGGGGATTGAACCCAGGGCCTTGCCTAGGCAAGTGCTCTACTTCTCAGTTACATCCCCAGTCCCAGTGTTCATTATTGTATCCCTAGTTCCTAGACAAGTCCCTGGGTTAGGGTATGCAGGAGCTGTGTAAAGATTTCAATTAATGAATTTTGTAAGGACTGCAACTCCTGGGTTCCTATAGCCTCTGTGAAGCCCTTCCCTCAATGGGGACCCCTTCAACAAATATTTATTTTTTTGAATGACTTTGAAATTTTATTGGGAAATCAAGGACTAAAAGTAGGGAGGCTGCATATGCAATATTCTGACTGTGGACTCAGTTCCATGTTTCCCCCTGTGAAGTGCAGTCCCTGGAAGAAGAACTCCTGCTGCTCCTTCAACACCAGTCAGGAAGCCCATAAGGATATTTCCTACCTATACGGATTCAACTGGGACCACTGTGGAAAGATGGCACCTGCCTGTAAACGACATTTCATCCAGGACACCTGCCTCTATGAGTGCTCCCCTAACTTGGGGCCCTGGATCCAGCAGGTACGGGTGTCCTCCCAGCATCCCCAAATTAGCAGAGGAGCTGAGCTTTCCAGCCACCTCTGCAGGCTGTGCCTCCAACTCTGGTTCTATCAGGGCTGAGTTGCGCAGGTTCTTAAGCCTGAACCCTTGTCCATCAAAATCTCCTAGGTGGACCAAAGCTGGCGTAAAGAGCGGATCCTGAATGTGCCCCTGTGCAAAGAGGACTGTCAGCGTTGGTGGGAGGATTGTCAGACCTCCTTCACGTGTAAAAGCAACTGGCACAAAGGCTGGAACTGGACCTTAGGTGAGGGCTGGGGTGGGACAGGGAGAAGGGATTCAGAGGTAAAGTTGTGGGGGTGTGGAGCTGGTAGGTGAAAATTTTGGGTGGTGGGTTTGGTTGAACTAGAGGTAGTTCTAGGCACAGTAGCTAAAAGTCTTCTGTCTTTCCTATAGGGTATAACCAGTGCCCCGTGGGAACTGCCTGCCACCCCTTCCACTTCTACTTCCCTACACCTGCAGCTCTGTGTGAGGAAATCTGGAGTCACTCCTACAAAGTTAGTAACTACAGTCGAGGAAGTGGCCGCTGCATCCAGATGTGGTTTGACCCCGCCCAGGGCAACCCCAATGAGGAGGTGGCAAGGTTTTATGCAGAGGCCATGAGTGGGGCTGAGGTCCCCAGAGCCTGGCCTCTCCTGCTCAGCTTGGTCCCAATGCTGCTCAGGCTGCTCAGCTGAGCTTCTTTTATCTTTTAATACCTGGGGGCCCCACAGCTCCTAGCTCTTCAGTTCCTGCTCCAAGGTGGGGCCCCTGAGAGCCTGTTTAAATAAAACAGATACTCCACATGTGTCTTGTGAATTATCTGGGTATGAATGGGAATATGATTGTTTTGCTTCCTGATTCTTACTGATTGAGTTCAGTTAGCCTTGGTCAAAACCCAGCTCTGATACTTGCTGTGAACTAGTCAGGTACTTAACAACTCTTCTAACCTAGAACACATTCATAGCTCTCAATTTCATTTTTCATCAAGTTCTAATTTAGAGATAAAACTAGTATTTTACCATTTTAATTTGGATCCCAGCCTCCCAGGGCCGATCACTCTGTACTGTGCTCAGCAATACAATAGAAGAGGTGAGGAAAGAAGAGCCTTGCATGCTCTGTGTGGATGGCTTGGAAGAGGGTAAGGGAGCCAGCAAGAGCCATACCACAGACAGCTAATGCCCACCCAGGACTGTCTGCCAGACTCTATCCTATATTTTGTATTTATTCTAATAAAGTGTAAATACTATTGTTGGCATTTTACATATGTGGAAACAGTCACAAAAATTAAGGTATATGGATAAAATCACCCTTGCCTAAGACCTGGGGTTCTGTCCAAGCTATCTGCCTTTGGAGAACAAGCTCTTTTTCCTAGTGGAGTGAGTAAATATGTTTCTTGAAGGGATAATGGGTCATATCTAACTAGAGGAGCTGGGCTTGAGCTAGTCTGGCAGATCTAAGACTGGAAGCCAGACTTCTAGAGCAGGTCCCAAACCAATCGTCTGAAAAGATTGTAGGCAGTTTTCCCACATTAAATATAGTGTGTAACAGTTTTAACAAGCCAGTTTATATTATAGCAATATTCCTATTATCCAGCGGTTTAATATAACTGATGTTTATTTCTTGCATAAGATACATTTTTTTTTTTTTGTACTGGAGATTGAATCCAGGGCCTTGTACCACTGAGCTATACCCCCGGCACTTTTTCTTTTGTTTTGAGCCAGGGTCTCAAAACTGAGTTGTCTGCATTGGCTCCAAATTTATAATCCTGCCTCAGCCTCCTGAATACCTGGGATTACAGGTGTTCACCACTATGTCCAGCTTCAAGCTACAATGCTTAATGTGGGTTGTAGGAGGGATTTCACTTCTCATTCAAGGACCCAGATTGATGGAAGCTCTGTCTTGTCAACTATTTCCTTCCATGAGATCAGAAAAGAGAACTTGGTAAATTCATACAGGCCCTTGAACTTCCACCCATCACTTATTTTGTTGGCTAAATCAGGTCATGACCATGTCTAAATTCAAGGAGTCCAGGAAAACATAATCCTATCATGTGCCTGAAAGGAGAGGCAAATCACAAGGTTTGTGGTCCAAACTATGACTACTACAAAAACCTTGTTATCTTATGGTTAGTTTATATTTCTGGCATGGTCACAGTTACAAATTTAATTTTCCAAAGAGATCCTAGTAAGAAGGAAGATCAGCTCCTAAAACCTATGCAAATGACTATATCAACCTGAAAAGTGGAGCAATTGCCAACTGCCACCCTGGTCTTGTGACAAGGCCAATGGATTATTATATTTTCTGTAGAACCAGTGTCTCCACTCACAAAAGTGACTTGTTTACAATATTAGAACTAGTGAAATTTAAGATTAATACTATATCTATCCAATATACTCATAAGTGTCCTGTCATGCTATTTCTGAATCATTTATAAAAATAAAATACTTGTCTGGGCTGGGGTTGTGCCTCAGCGGTAGAGAGCTTGCTTAACACATGCAAAGCCCTGGGTTCGATCCCCAGCACCACATAAGAAATAAATAAAATAAAGGTATTTTGTCCATCTACAACTAAAAATTTTAAAAAATAAAATTAAATAAAAAAAATAAAATACTTGTCTGAATCCAACTTACTGTATTTGCCATCTTCAAATTCTGAGGGCCATTGGCTTGCAGAATGTATTAATTCTTCACATAAAAATTGCCTAGAATATAGTAACAACATACAGATAGACATATAGATCAAAGGAACAGAACTGAGAATTTGGGAATAAATCCTTACATTTATAGTTAATTATTATTATTATTATTATTATTATTATTATTATTATTATTATTTTTTTTTTTTTTGGCAGTGCTGGGGATTGAACACAGAGCCTTATGCATGCTAGGAAAGCATTCCTCCACCGAGCAACATCCTCAGCCCAAATAGTTAATTGATTTTGGACAAAGTTGCTAAGATAATGCATTGGGAATAGGATAGTCTGTTCAATAATAGGAGGTGGGACTATTGTACATGTAAAAAGATGAACTTAGACCTTCATCTCACACCCTATATTAAAAATGAACTAAAAATGAACTATAGACTTAAAGGTAATAAACAAAACAATAACTTTTTTTTTTGACACTTGTAATTGAATCCCAGGACACTTTACCACTGAGCTAATCTACAGTCCTTTGAATTTTTTTTTTTTTTGTAGTTGTGTATGGACAGCATGCCTTGATTTTATTTATTTTTATGGAGTGCTAATGATCGAACCCAGTGCCTCACACATGCTAGGCAAGCACTCTGCCACTGAGCTACAGCCTATAGTCCTTTAATTTTTTTTTGTGTGTGTGTGTGCTAAGTTGCTAAGACTTGCCTTCAACTTATAATCTTCCTGCCTCAGCCTCCCCAGTAGTTGGCATTAGAGATGTGCTCCAACATACTCAGCTTGAAGCACTAACACTTTTAGAAGAAAACAGAAGAACATCTTCCAGACCCTTGTATTAGGGTTAGGGATGCAAAATGGTATAGACCTGTGAAAAAAAAGCATGGCAGTTTCTCAAAAAAGCTAAATGCAAAACTGCCATACAACCCAGCAATCTCACTCTAAGTATCAACTCAAGAAAAATGAAAATGTCCATTACAGCAAAACTTGCACATGGAATTTTCATAGTTAGCTGGAAATAACCTCAGTTTCCATCAACCAATGAATGACCACATTTGATCTATCCATACAAGAAAATACTATCCAGCAATGAGAAGTAACGAACTACTATACTGACACATGCTATATCATGGTCATCAAAAACATTACGTAAGGGGCTGGGGTTGTAGCTCAGTGGTACAGCACTTGCCTAGAACGTGTGAGGCACTGGGTTTGATCTTCAGCACCACTTAGAAATAAATATAAAATAAAGGTATAAAAAATTATGTAATGGGGACTGAGGTTGTGACTCAGCCTTAGAGTACTCGCCTCGTATGTGCGAGGCCCTGGGTTTGATCCTCAGCACCACATAAAAATAAATAAATAAAATAAAAGTATTGTGTCCATATACAACTAAAAAAATAAATATAAAAAAATTATGTAATGGGACCCAGGAGGGGAAATTATGTAAGTGAGGGTGGTAAGAAACAAGAGATCTCAAAATGTAGGATTCCATTTATATGAAGTATCCAGGAGAGGAAAATTTATAGAGACAGATATTGGTAGTTGCCTGGGACTGGGGATGGAAATTGAGATAAACTGTAAATGGGAAGGAGGAAGGATGAAAATTATGGAGGAAATGAAAATGTTATAAAATTCATGTATAATTAGTTTGCACCACTCATTGTAAACTTGAAAAAGGTAACCTTTATGGTAATTATAAATAAATAATTGCCTATAAGATACTCTCCTATAGTATATAGGGAATTTTGTATGATTCTGCATTTTGTAATGTGTGCTGATGAAGAAAAGTATTCTAAAGAATTTAGCATTTGGCTCCTGGCTTAAACTTGAATCCTCCTGGATCAGCACTACCACCCACCTACCCAAATGCTGAGATTATAAATGTGCACCACTACACCCATCTTGGATTTTTATTTTTTAAATTTATTATTATTATTATTATTATTATTTTGGTACTGGGGATTTAACCCAGAGGTGCATTACTCCTGAGCTACATCCCTAGTAATTTTTATTTTTTTACTTTGAGACACAGTCTGGCTAAGTTGCTAAGGGTGTTGCTAAATTGAGGTCCAAACAGACCTCCAACTTGTGGTCCTCCTGTCTCAGCCTCTCTATTCACTGGGATTATGGCATGTGCCACCACAACTGGCCTCTTAGATTTTTTTTGTTTGTTTGATTTTTGGTACTGCGGATTGTACCCAGGGGTGCTTAATCCACTGATTCACATCCCCAGCCCTTTTTTATTTTTCATTTTGAGACAGGGTCTTGCTAAATTACTATGGCCATGCTAAATTGCTAAGGCTGGTTTTGAACTTGTGATCCTCCTGCCTTAGTCTCCCAAGATGCTAGGATTACAGCCATGTGTCACCACGCCTGGCTTATCTTGGATTTTTTAAAGAGAGTGTTTATTCCAGTTGGCATAAGTATAGTCTGCTAAATTAAGGGTTAGAGACCAGAGCCAGGGGAAAGAAAAAAGTCTACATATTATGACTAATCCAAAAAAGATCATGAAGTATGCTACCCAAAATACAAAGACAGTAACCACAATCATATCTCCTTCATTAGCTTGACTCATTCCTTTAACATTATTTCTTGCTACATTTTACTGGATGAGTATCTTCTTCCATAGAAGTCCTCTGCCTGGGGGATGAAATTTTTTTTTTTAGAAATCCAGGTCTCAAGGCTCTCCCAGGTGACTCAACCAAGTGTCGGTTTATGGTTGTGATGTCAAATACATGAGTCTATTTCCTGTTATAAACTATGGAAGGGATCCTCAAGCAAGTAAAAAAGGAGAATAGAAATTACCTGTTGACAGTACCATATGGTCTTGCCAATCTATTAGTATCCAATATCAGAATGAAAGAATTTTCAGTGGAACAGCCCAAACCTGAGGACAGCTATATTTCTTGAGGTCTCGTTTGATGGCTACTTTGAGGAAAACATATTATTAGAACCTGGAGGAGGGAGACAGGGAGAATTAGTTTTCTTAGTCAATTTAACCAACTGATTTTTTCCGTAAATCTTATTGGTGCATTATAATTATAT